AAACTTAGATAGAACACGTAAATAACTTTGACTGGCATTGGGATTGGAAAGATTACCAGTAACTCTATAATATGCTTCAAATAACAGTATAAGTAGTGCTTATTCATCAGAGCTTTCCTTAATTTCAAATATATTAGCCTTCAAGCTCAAAACAGGAAAGTTCTCCAGGTGATAAAACAAACTATTTTAAGCAGAAAGTGTTAACTAATGTGAGTTGCAAAACGCTTCTTGTTCAACATACAAGATGTTAGATAAAAGAAAATATGAGATTTTGTGAACTATCTCTGAGGATGTTCGACATACCTACACTGATAAAACTTAGGTCACTGATTCGTCTATTTCAGTAAAAAATGTACTAAGTTTAATTAGAAATTGGTCAACTAGTAGCAAAATGGGGGAGGGGGGGTCAATACCTTCAAGAGCTTTTGGAGGCTGCTGGGTCGCTGAGTATTCTCAAATTCGATTAGTGAAGCTAATAATAAAGAACAAACCACTTCAGAGTTCTACTTTTTTAAATTTTAAAATGAACTTAACTATAAAGTTCAGTAAATCGAAAATAACTTTTTTTTTAATTTCCAGTGTTGCGAGAAACAACTACTCCGCGGGCTAGAAGCCCCCACCGGTATTGAATTATACTTGCAACACCTAGTACAACAGCTAGAATCGTTCGTCATCAGTTTAACCCGCCAGACATAGACCGGTTTCGACTTATTGGTCCTCATCAGTGTGTATCAGTATTAGGGTGGGCCGAAAATCCGCTTTTTTGAATTTTTATTATTAATACCGAAAATATTGTTGAAAAATTTATGTGAACGGAAAAAATTTTAGGTTGATATCTTAGGCTCGCCAAATTTCGTCAAAGTTTAGTGTCAGAAAAATTTTTTTTTGGACTTACCTTTATCGGAAATTTAATTCTCTACAAAAAAGGTCCTTACAAGAAATCTGTGGAACTAATCATTTCTGAGATAATGGCAATTTTAGTAGAAAAATTGACGTTTTTCACAATATTTATGTTTTTTATAGAGAAAAAGTTATTGTTTAAATATTCGTTTTATAGGAAATTCAATTCTGTACAAAAAAGGTCCCAAGGAGAAATCATGTCAAATTAATAGTTTTTGAGATAATGGCAATTTTAATAGATAGAAAAAATAAACATTAGAATTACCAACATATATATGATATTAAAATAGGGAATGAAGACTGGTTTTTGAGAATATTTAAAACAAAATATTTTACATTTTTCTTTTCTCCATCGAAAATATATACATATATAAAAAATATCTATATTTAAATAAAATTGCCATTATCTCAAAAACTATTAATTTGACATGATCTCTCCTAAGGACCTTTTTTGTAGAGAATTAAATTTACTATAAAATAGATATTTAAACAATCACTTTTTATTTATAAAAAACATAAATATAAACGTCAATTTTTCTACTAAAATTGCCATTATCTCAGAAATTATTAATTCGACAGGTTATACAGAAATACAATTTTAATACAACGTAATTCTAAAAAATCAATTTAATATTTTTTTTAATTTTGTAATAAAAACTTCTACGCCAACTTTAACACACAAATTAAGTTATATTTCCAACAAAAAATTCCCATAACTGTTTTGTATAACGAATAGTTTAGTTACGCAAATTTTTGCGTAATACTGATTAGTCAGTGGCGCCGAAACTCTAGAACTCTTCGTGACACACTATATACCTACTATCCGCAACTGGCTGATGTATTCGTAAGTTAACTTAGAAATGAGATCAAGTACCAGGTCTCTTCAGAGAATAACCGAACTTAATTTTTTTAAATTTATTATTAATTTTATAGGTTATTGGTCCTTGTCTTCTTCAAAGTTCTTCCCTCCTCTATTCACACACTTTTCCCAGTGATGTTTCGATTTCGCTAAGTAGTCCTGGTACCTTCATTTGAAGTGATTTTTAAAGTCTTTGTCGTCTTTGTTTTGATGTCATCAATAGTCTGAAAACTTCGTCTTTTAGCACTGATCTTAATTTCGGAAATAAGAAAAAATCGCAAGAAGCCAGGTCTGGGGAGTAAGGAGGATGAGGAAGGACAGTAATCTGATTTTTGGCACAAAATTGACGAATTGACAAAGCTGAATGTGCAGACGCATTATCATGCGCCTTGATAGTACACACGGTGCACTATTTGACCTTGAGGCAAGAATTCCAAATTCCATTAAAGTCGAAAAAAACAGTGAGCATCACTTTGACATTGGATCGAGACTGACGTAGTTTCTTGGGGCGCAGAGATTATTTGCCAATCCATTGTGATGATTGAACTTTTGTCTCAATCTCGTAGCTATAAAACCAACTTTCGTCTCCCGTTATGATCCTTTGAATAAATGTTTCATCGTCATTGTATTGTTCAAGGATTTGCTGACAAATGTCCACACGATGTTCTTTCTATTGTCCGGCCATCAAACGAGGAACAAATTTTGCTGTCACTCGATGCATGTTCAATTTTTCAGTCAAAATTTAATATAATAATAATAATAAATGGTCTTTATTAAGAAATAATAATACAATTAAAAAAGATTAAAAATCAAATAACAGTACCAAATGGGCGAAGTCTAGCATAAGCTATTCATACTTAACCCTATGGTACGGTATGGTGGATATAGTCCAACAGAACAAAATTTATAGATACAGAACAAACTGTGATAGGTATGTAGTACATAATAAATATAAAACACAATAAATTAACAAAAATACAAAAGTAAGAAAAAAAAGTATACAGCAGGTTCACACAAATTTATTTATTTATTTATTTTTTCACACAAACAGCAAAGTGCTTGCTCACTAAATATAACAACAAACAAATATACAATAAATTATGAATCGTTACAATGACCTAATTGTTTGCCAAATAAAAACAATCTATATTTATACTTAAATTTATTAATATTGTAAGCTCTAAATTGATCAGGCAGAGAATTATACAATCTAACAGCATTATATATGAAAGATCTCCGAAACAGGGCCGTCTTGTGAAGGGGTAAAGTATAAGTATTTTTAAAACGAATATCGCGTGTATGAATATCACCTCTAGTAATAAATTTAAGTCCAAGTAGAGAGGAAGTATTGTCACTCATAATTAGACCATGAACAAAATTACCAAGATGATGTTGTCTGCGGTTTTCCATAGTCAACCAACGGGTTTCATTAATTTTGTGCGAGATGTGATCAAACTTTTTTAGACCATGAATCAACCGACAACACGAATTCTGAACTTTCTGAATTCTGTATTTATTAGCAGCTGTCAGACAGGGTCCATAGATGAAATCATTGCAGTTAAAATGAGATAAAACTAAAGAATCACAAAGTGCTTTTCTTAGTGACATATTCAAAATATACCGATTGGAATATAACAATTTTAATGACGAGTAAGCTTTATGGAACAAACATTTAATGTGCTGATCAAATCTCAAATTTGTATCAATTATAAGACCCAAATTTCTAGCTGTATCTGTATAAACTAAGGGAGTATTATCAATCTTAATCACCAAATTATCCGTAATAAATTTCGCTCTCTCCTTACTGCCAAAGCACATCACTTTACATTTGCTTGAATTTAACTTTAACGCATGTTTTTCAGATATATTTCTAATGTTACTCAACTCCATATTTATAAGTTCAGCGGCACGAGCCATGTCTTTAGTATCAAAGTGCATGTATATTTGCGTGTCATCTGCATAGGCTTGAACAATACAGTTATTGGAGATTGAATTCAATATATCAGTGGTATAGATTATAAAAAATAGTGGCCCTAAAATAGACCCTTGAGGCACTCCACTGGAAATATTCAATTCTGAAGAGAATCGATCACCAACCTGAATCATTTGAGACCGGCCAGATAAATAAGATTTTACCAGATTAAGAGATTCACGTGAAAAGCCATAATACTTTAGTTTAGAAATCAATAAGTTATGATTAATGGTGTCAAACGCCTTAGAGAAGTCTAACAATACCAGGATACTAACCAGTCCCTTATCACAGGCCTCAATAATATCGTTTAAGACTGTAGTTAAAACAATTGTAGTATTAAAACCTTTACGAAAGCCGCATTGAAAATTAGACAGAATGTCGTTCGTATTAATAAAATTATAAATTTGTCTATACAATATTCTTTCAAAAATCTTTGATAGAGTAGGTAAAATGCTAATTATTCTTAGATCAGAAAAAGTGTCAGGACTGCTATTTTTAGGCAAGGGTTTACCAATCGCTATTTTCCATTGTTGTGGAAAATAATTTTGTTCTATGCAACAATTTATTATATTGACAATAAAAGGACAAATAAAAGGACAACAGTACTTTAACATCAAAGATGATATATTGTCACAACCACAAGCATTACTTTGCATATCTAGCAATATCTCGGTAACATCATCAACTGTACATAGGTCAAATGAAAAAGATAACTGATCATTACGACAGTTATTATTATAATATTCAATCAAATCATCGCAATTATCAGAATTGTATTGGAGGAATGGAGCGAAGTAGCTATTTATCTCATTAGGGAATAGCTATTTATCTCATTAGGGAATTTCATGGCATGATCCAACTGAGATGCCACCTCTTCTGCAATTTCTCTGACAGTCAATCGGCGATTCTCACGCACCAGATAATTGACTTTCTGGACATACGAATCATTAGTTGAAGTCGAAGGCTTTCCTGGCCAAGAATCATCTTCAATAGACTTTTCACAATCACTTTTGAAAACTATACCCGTTCTTATTCAGATATATACCCATCTAAAGCATAACTCAAGAAATACTTTATAAAATTGTAGAGAATTAAGTAGAATTAGGAGTTGAATGAGATTAGTAAATTAACCTTACAGTTAATTCGTTTTTCATAATGAATATCGTACTTGCGTTTTACAAAATTTTTTCAACATGTTTAACAAAACTGAAAAACAAACAAGTAATGACAAAGAGTATATTTTTTTATACTGAATATTTATTGAATGAATACATGAATAGTAAATATATAGTGTATATAAGTTTAGTACTATCTATATGTTAATAATTTTTAAAGGGGTGGCTACGAATTAATTCTGAAACACCTGTAACGGTTACAAAACTACGTGGTGTTGAACCAAGCTATTCAGAGCTTCTTTAATTTTCTCACCCAAGTCCGTATCGACCAGAGAGAAAGCAGAAATAGCCCTTTCCTGCATGACAGAATTGGTAGGTTTCAACCAAGATACTATATTCTGAATCAACCTGCCCCTTTCATCCGGTTTCAGAACTCTGCGATACAGAAGCCTGGGCTGGGTGAAATTGTCATCATTGCCGCTGTCCAACCTCTTAGCATCTCCGGATAAAGGTATGACAGGAGCCAAAGCGTGAGCCCTTCGATCATTGTCGGGCCCTTTGAAGCTGTTAGGGTGGTAGTTGGGGGCGCCCCCTTGGCTGTGGATGGTGCTTTCTCCATCTCTCGTGTATGAGTGGAAATTAAAGGGAGCGTTTACTGCCAGTTGGAGGTTGTTGGCTCCCAAACGGTAGCGATGAGTATCCCCGTAGTTGAAGAGACGACCTTGCAGCATTCTGTCAGGAGATGGTTCAATGCCTAAGAAATATATAAGCATTTTGACATTTGGAAAGATTATAATCTTAAAGTTGTTATAGATATACAGTATGTCTCACTAAGTTGGAACCACATGGAAAACTTTTTTATTATTAATTTTAGGAAAAAAAGTTATTCTTCATAAAAAGTTCTGCATGTTCTAAAATCTAAAATACAATCATCAGATATGAAATTTTTTCAGTCTTATACGCGGTTTGTCAAAAATATGAATTTTACTCATGATTAAAGTACCTTTATATTTGACAATATCGAAAATTGTAATAAAATAATGTTGATCAAAACNATGAAACTAGGGAACAATATACAATCCTTTACGAAAAAGGTAGGTTGGTTGTTCCCTACCAGATCCCATATGCCGTCTTCAGTGTAGAACTTAATTGCAAATCCTCTGACATCTCTAACAGTATCGGGGTAACCTAGTTCTCCAGCCACCTGAGAAAATCTAGAAAAAGAAGTAGTGTCTGTATATTTTGGTGAAATGATATCATGCGCCACTGAAAATGATATATCGTATGATATCTTAAAAATATCAAAGTCTTAATATCAGTTTACCTATAGCAGTTTACAGTAAAAGACGATAGTAAGCATGCTTAGGAGAATTATGCGTTTCTACACTACAGCTTTACAGTTGCAAATTTTGAGTATATTATTCGGTTCAGTATAATTTTCCTTATTATTGTGCGTTATTTTATTACGTAAATTTAAAAAAAAAGTCTAAGACCGATCAAAATAACTCATTTAGAGGGAAAAAAATTGTTACCTGGACATGTATAAGTGGAAATGGTAAAGGGGCTTATAATAAACGAAAAAAAAAAATAAATGCGTGACCAGGGGCGACGGACGGTTGATTTGGGGGGTTGAAAAGTTATGATAAATTGTATCATTGGGATTTCTGGCGAAAGTTGACGTCAAACAAAAAAGTATCTAATACAAAAGTTGTAGATCATTCAAAAATCTACAACTTTTGTGGAGGTCAATTTTTAACTTTACCTCAAAATTTCCGAGAAAAATGCAAAAACAGGTTTCTTCTGATTTTTCGTTTTTTATTTCTCATTTCCGCAAAAATAATTTAATTTTGACGAAACTTGGTGAAAGTATACCTTTTTCTGTCTTAAATAACCTCTAATTTTTCTAGATAAAAAAATCAAGAAGTTTCTGAAATATTCATTTTTTTGGCCTGAAACACTTTTTTGAAAGAATAATTCTACTTAAAAAATCATTGTACAGAGTTCTCCGGGTAATCATTTTTTCATTTTGACATAAGTATACTTTTTGGTGAAATAAAAAAATTTGTAATAAGAGTTCAAAAACATGCTCAAAAATGCAAAAAAAAGTAAAAAATAACTTGCAGCAATGAATTTTTCAGTAATTGTTGATAATTTGGTTAAATTTAAAAAAATCAAAAACTGATTACACCATTCAATTGTACGGAAAAAATACAAAAAAAAAAACTGTCTCACTGTTTGACCCAAAACAATTTTTTTACAGTATTGCTATAAACATAAGTCGAATAGTGAATAAATAAAATAAATAATAATTTTTTTCCGTGGGATCGATTAGTGTACTTATTTTTTTTAAAGTCTGATGAATTCATAGATATACAATGTGACCAGGATAAGGATGGGAGAGCATTAGGATCTATAGTAGGATCATATTGCAAAGTAATAAATCATTGCCTGTCATGGGAACCAATGAAGTACGCTTTTAAGGGTTTTACAAATTGAATTATTTCTTTATACATTATGAAGGGACGAGGGGATCAGTTCAGGTCTGGCACCCTTGTTCCTACAAAAATTCCTTTATTCTCATAAACTATTTATTTTAAATGTAATTTATTATAAATCCAATTTGTTTCCTAAATTCCACATATGTACTACATTTTACCTCTGTACGCGCCACTGTTGTTTACTTGTTTTTTGGAAGCGCTCTCTAATTGACGGCAAAGCTCGCCAGGTTAGTATTTGACGTATAACCGACCAGTTCGTACACTCGATGCACCTGGGCGACTACAGCTACTACCAGAACACAGTGCGTATGCAGCGGTATTTCAGATTTTACATTGAATTTCATTTTAAATTTGAAATGATTTATCTTACGCCTCCTAAAAATGATGACACGATTTTCCTTTGATAAAAGACCGACAACCTTTTGCTCTACTTTGCATCGAATACGATCTTACTATAGGAAACGATAAGAGATATGGGGTGGCTCAGATTAGAGAAAAGTTGTTTTTTTTATACCTAACAAAATGTGGTTTAGAAAGTTTTAAAATTTCGGGTAGTTCCGGAGATATCCGGAAAAACCCGAAATTTTGCAAAATTGTTTAATTTTTTTCTGGCTTTATTTGAAAAAGAATTTTAAAATAAATTAAATATTTATAATGCCACTTTTTTCGCTCTATACAATAGCGTCAACATTTTTACAATCCGACGTTTCGTCTTCGAGTGTCCATCATCGGGTTAATTTTTTAAACCTCGCTGCTATTTTTTTGATAAAATCTAAAGTCATTTTTAATTCTGAATTAGAGGATATTACTATTGTAATCGCTTAAAAAGTTTTTAGCTTGTTTTAGCTATATGTAATTTAAAATTTTTCCTGAGTGCGGCTCTGAACGCTTTCAAAATATCTATTGGATGAAGTCAGTATAAAAGTCAATACCGCACAAAATATCCAACAATTTTTTACTACTGTTAGCGNTTGGTTTACGGGATATTTCGCATTAAATAAATCGCGCACTTCAGCCTGACTTCTTATTTTGTCTCCACATCCAAGCAATATCAAGATTTCGATGCGTTGCCTTTCCGACAATACCATTGCAATCCAGTAAATAAATTGATTTTGACACAATACTAACGTTTCGAACTGCAATTTACAACTAAAGCGAAAAATTAACCAGAAAGCCTGGCAAGTAAGTGGTGCCAAAAAAACCCAACATAAAAAATATATCGTTTTTGCGTTAACAGCGATAGGTACAGTTTCAAATCCTTTATTTTATTCTGTGCAAATTCATGGAGGATAACACTGAAGATAATTAAATTTTATTTCACTTGTTAAGTAGGTGTTTTATACAACCCTAAAAACCTTGCTATTGAAAAATAAAACTTGTTTATTTGGTATGGCAGGATCGGTTTTCTATAAGCTTTTCAACGAGCCCCCTCATGCCTTATGTTTCCATTTGAAAAAAAAAGTAGGGGTTAAGGGGGTGAAAAAAAATTAATTATTATATAACCGAAAGATGGGGAAAAAATCAAAATCAGTTAACGTGTTTCGGCGTTTTAAAAAAATTAACTCAGTCAAAAGATATGAATTTTATTCCGTACTTCTGGCCATCCCTGTATAAATATGTACCTGGAATCAAGTGAGCGACATCGAAGCCGATCTGCTCCACCTCGGCGAAGTAGTTATTGGGGTTTCTGTTCAAAACGAACCTCCCTACCGGTATCAGGGGGTAATCAGCGTGAAGCCACACCTTCGTATCGTCGAAAGGATCGTAAGGATTCTTCGCAGCTTGCTCCGGCGTCATAATTTGAATGTAGAAGTCCCAAGAGGGATAATCGCCGTTCGCTATAGCGTCGTAAAGGTCTCTTGTATGATAATCCGTGTCTATTCCGGCGATTTTTTGCGCCTGTTCCGATGATAAGTTGGATATGCCTGAAATAGAGAAGAATAAGAGGAAGAAAAAGAAAATAAAGCGTGCTAGGAGTATGATTTTTCTTGTATTTTTTTATATGTAAATACTGTACCAAATTTCCTTAATTTAGCACAATTATTTTATAACAGTTTCACCATAACAAAGTTGCAACTTAACTTCAAAAACTCTTTCTCTCTGTAACGGCGAAATCGAAATGTCTATAAGTTCCTAAGAACAATATAGAATAATATCTAAGCTTCTAAGAACATGAAAGAAAAAAAGAACATATTCCAGAATCATGGAACAAATAAGTAAACAAAAGTATAAAATGTACAGTGTGTCATGGAATGGGGTACCGCACTCTTGTAAATAGTTTCATTTTATAATTTTGTTGACAGGTGGCAAAATATCCAATAAAAGTACTTTTTCCTTACTGAAACATTGAGTATATTTTATTCCTTTTACGCACATATTTTTCAATTACCTTGATTGGTCCTGTAGTGGAATTTGCAGTAAGAGAACTGTCCCTGATTGTTAACAAAAGCAAAAGTGTTCACTCCGTAGCCATGCATTTTTCTGTAACTTGCCGGGATGCCCCTATCAGAAAAAAATATCACTGACGTATGCATTGTCTCCTGTCGCAGTGTAACGAAGTCCCAGAACATGTCGTAATCAGGCCTCAAATGAGTTTTAGGGTTCCTAAAGAAAAATAAAAGTGTCTACTGGTTGCATCAAGTTTATAAACATAAAAGAATACACTTATTAAAGTTTGTTTTCCAAAAAACTTTCATGGAACTGACACAACAGAAATAAACTGTTCTAAAGAGAAATTCAAAGTAAAAAATTTTTACCTCTTTAGAGTATGTATGAAACTAGGGAACAATATACAATCCTTTACGAAAAAGGTAGGTTGGTTGTTCCCTACCAGATCCCATATGCCGTCTTCAGTGTAGAACTTAATTGCAAATCCTCTGACATCTCTAACAGTATCGGGGTAACCTAGTTCTCCAGCCACCTGAGAAAATCTAAAAAAATAAGTAGTGTCATGTATATTTTGGTAGAATGATGATATCATGCGCCACTGAAAAGGGTGATATCTTAAAAATATCAAGGTCTTAATATCAGTTTACAGTAAAAGGCGGTATTAAGCATGTGTAGGGGAATTATTATTTAGCTTTACAGTTAAATACGACACTGCAAATTTTGAGTACCTATAATATTCGGTTCAGTACAATTTTCCTTATGCGTTTCATTTTATTACGTAAATTACAAAAAAAATCTAAGATTACCAGGAAATTTACTATAGGTATTTTGGAAAATTTATATTTAAACCTTCACTATAATTTTGATATATTCAGGGCATAATTTTGGCGAAGTAAAAAGCTTATAAACGCACACTTTTTCAGTTAATTTAACATGTATCCATTTATTAATTTGAAATAAATCTATATAGTGACTTCCCTACCTCACAGCAATCGGTGTCTTCTTCCCAATTTGCGAAAAAACGCATGCAGCCGTGTACTGAGTGATATCGTGAGTAACTTCAAAGTATCCAAAGGCACCAGCCCCCTTTGCATGCACAACTCTCTCCGGTATCCTTTCTCTGCTGAAATGCGACAATTCATCTATAAGCACCGTATCTTGCAGCAGGATGGGTCCGTGATATCCTACCGTCAAACTGGCATCTTTTTTACCAATAGGTACTCCATACGTTGTGGTTACGGACACGTTATCATCCTGAAAATATTCACACAGGTTTGGAACTCCAAACTCATTTTTTTTGCAATTCAAATTCATTCTTTTGCAAATCAAATTCAAGCTTTAGTAATTATTTAGAAAAAAATTGTGTGTTATTTTTATAGAAACTGAATCTGAAAAATCCTGAATAAAAGATGGCGGATCCAATATGGCGGATTTAAAAATATCAGAAAAGTATTCAATATTTGAAGATTATAGCTGAAATTTGTTACTCGGTGGTTTTTAAAGTCACCAATCACGAATATAAGGTTTTAATTTGGAAATTCTTAAATCTAAAATGACGAACCCATTATATGGTGGATTAAAAGTATGTAGGTACCATAGAAATTGATATTTACGACCCAAAGAAATGCGTTACCTATGAATGTTTTAAAAAAGTGACAGAACATTGCAAACCGATTTATATTCTTTGTTTCCATCTCAACTTTTCTAATGCTGTCAATATGCGAACAAAGGTGGAACATAGCTGGTAGGTTGATATTATCATTCAAAAACAAATTTGTGGGAAAGGCATAATACTCCTCTATTACGCAAAAAGGGCAGTAGGTTGTTGTTTATGACAGCGGTTTGTATGAATGTATTTTGTTTGTTGTCTTTTTTTTTCATAAGGGAGAAAAATATTGGATAATCACATATCGAATGAGCTTACCAACACACCATTCCAAGTATGTCACTATAATCTTTTTATCTTTAATTACATTGGAAAGTTTACTCAAAAAAGTTGATTGAAGTATACAGGGTGATTCACAACTTATCCAAAAAAATTTAGGAATAGATGCGGCATGAGAAATGGAGTCAATATCTTAAAAATATTTTTGTAAAATCCGTATAGTTTCCAAGAAAAAAATTATTGAAGTTGTAGTACATTCAACCATTACATAGCTGGACAACTGTAGTCTCTAGCGTCATTCGCGACTTCGAATACTGAAATCGGATTTTACAATCGTCGTTTACCTTTTATCTGTGGTGTTTCCAATAGTTTTTTAATACAGTAAAACTCGGTTATAGCGAGCATTCACGGGAACGCAAAATTTGCTCGTTATACGCGAGTGCTCGTTATAGAAGTCGCCGTCGCCAACTATGCTGAAAATTATTGGACACATAATTATAGCTGCATTGCACTTGTATTTTTATTTCCAAACATATAATATTATTTATCTACATAACATAGATACGTATAACTGTAGGTAAGTTACATTACATATCATTTATTATTATTAACGAAAAAATTCTGTAATATTTTTCTGCACCACTCTTTTGCTTAATATCTCCTGACTGATATTTCTNGGATATTACTATTGTAATCGCTTAAAAAGTTTTTAGCTTGTTTTAGCTATAACTTAAAATTTTTCCTGACTACGGCTCTGAACGCTTTCAAAATATCTATTGGATGAAGTCATAACAGTATGCAAGTCAATACCGCACAAAATATCCAACAATTTTTTACTACTATTAGCAATACTAATTAGAAATAATAAAATATTTCATAAATTAATATTATTTTTTTATTAAGTACAAATTTTTAAATTATGGATTAAAAAAAATTGTTGGATATTTTGTGCAGTATTATTCGCTTCTCTCTCTCTCTCTATCTCTCTCTCTCCTCCAATAGATACAGGTATTTTGAAAGCGTTCAGAGCCGTACTCAGAAAAATTTTTTAATGATAGCTAAAAACCTTTTTATGCGATTATAATGGTAATATCATCTAATACAGAATTAAAAATGACGAGATTTTGTCACAAAAATAGCAGCGATATATTTAAAAAAATTAATCTGATGATGGCCCCTCGAAGACGAAACGTCGGATTGCAACAATGTTGACGCCATTGGATAGAGCGAAAAAAGTGGCAATGTAAATATGTAATTTATTTAGAATTCGTTTTCAAATAAAGCCAGAAAAAAATAAAACGATTTTGCAAAATTTCTGGTTTTCGGATTTCGCGTCAACAGTAGACTTTACAGTAAATATTTTGTATTGCTGAAATCTCAAATCATCCAGAGATAATTTATCATTTATGCATTTGTAATTCGACTTAAATGTTTATAGCAATACTGTACAAAAATAAAGTCAAATGAGACAGTTTTTTTTTATTTTTTTCCGTAGAATTGAATAGTGTAATCAGTTTTTGAATGTTTTTTTAATTTAAACAAATTATCAACAATAACTCAAAATTCATCATTGCAAGTCATTTTTTATTTTTTTTTTTGCATTTTTGAACATGTTTTTGAACTGTTATTACAGATTTTTTTATTTCACCAAAAAGTATGTCACATCGAAAAAAATGATTACCCGCAGAACTCTGTACGATGATTTTTTAAAGTAGAATTTTTCTTTGAAAAAAAGTGACTTCTACAGAAGTTGTATATTTTTGCATGATCTACAACTTTTGTATTGGATATATTTTTGTTTGACGTCAACTTTCGCCAGAAATCCCAATAATGATACAATTTTTCATAACTTTTTAACCCCCCAAATCAACCCTCCGCCGCCCTTGCTAACGCATTTATTTTTCTTAGGTTTATTATAAGCCCATTTCCTCTTATAAAAGTTCTGGTAACAATTTTTTTTTTCTCCAAGTGTAATTTGCTTGGACTATTACTAGGAAAATTTACTATATTTTGGAAAAGTTATATTTAAATCTTCACTATAATTTTCATAAATTCATGGCATAATTTTGCCGAAGTAAAAAGCTTATAAACGTACTTTTTCAGTTAATTTAACATGTATCAATTTGTTAATTTGAAATAAATCTATATAGTGACTTCCCTACCTCACAGCAATCGGCGTTTTCTTCCCAATTTGCGAAAAAACGCATGCAGCCGTGTACTGGGTGATATCGTGGGTAACTTCAAAGTATCCAAAGGCACCAGCTCCTTTAGCATGCACAACTCTCTCCGGTATCCTTTCTCTGCTGAAATGCGACAATTCATCTATAAGCACCGTATCTTGCAGCAGGATGGGTCCGTGATATCCTACCGTCAAACTGGCATCTTTTTTACCAATAGGTACTCCATACGTTGTGGTTACGGACACGTTATCATCCTGAAAATATTCACACAGGTTTGGAACTCCAAACTCAATTTTTTGCAATTCAAATTCATTCTTTTGCAAATCAAATTCAAGCTTTAGTAATTATTTAGAAAAAAATTGTGTGTTATTTTTATAGAAACTGAATCTGAAAAATCCTGAATAAAAGATGGCGGATCCAATATGGCGGATTTAAAAATATCAGAAAAGTATTCAATATTTGAAGATTATAGCTGAAATTTGTTACTCGGTGGTTTTTAAAGTCACCAATCACGAATATAAGGTTTTAATTTGGAAATTCTTAAATCTAAAATGACGAACCCATTATATGGTGGATTAAAAGTATGTAGGTACCATAGAAATTGATATTTACGACCCAAAGAAATGCGTTACCTATGAATGTTTTAAAAAAGTGACAGAACATTGCAAACCGATTTATATTCTTTGTTTCCATCTCAACTTTTCTAATGCTGTCAATATGCGAACAAAGGTGGAACATAGCTGGTAGGTTGATATTATCATTCAAAAACAAATTTGTGGGAAAGGCATAATACTCCTCTATTACGCAAAAAGGGCAGTAGGTTGTTGTTTATGACAGCGGTTTGTATGAATGTATTTTGTTTGTTGTCTTTTTTTTCATAACGGAGAAAAATATTGGACAATCACATATCGAATGAGCTTACCAGCACACCATTCCAAGTATGTCACTATAACCTTTTTATCTTTAATTACATTGGAAAGTTTACTCAAAAAAGTTGATTGAAGTATACAGGGTGATTCACAACTTATCCAAAAAAATTTAGGAATAGATGCGGCATGAGAAATTGAGTCAATAACGTAAATAAAATTTTTGTACATTCGACCACTACATAGCTGGACAACTGTATAGTCTCTAGCGTCATTCGCAACACGCGTGGAGAGCCACGTGGCCTCAGCGACTCCGGGATACTGAAATCCGATATTGCAATCGTCATTGCGATAGTGTTTACCTGTTATCTGTGGTGTTTACAATAGTTTTTTAGTAGTTAGTGTCAAAAATGGTTTGCGTGTATAGCAATTCAGAGTTGACGGATATCGTTTTAATTTATGGTGAAGCAAGACATCATTTGTGTTAGTTCGTAGAAACTGAGTAAGACGGACCCAAATGTGTTTACACGTTGGTGGATAAAATTTTGAACAATTGTTGTTGTAACATCGCAACATCGGGTATGTCAAATGATTTTATCATTTAAAAACACAAATTAATTTTATTTATTAATAAAGGCAAAAGCAGTTGAATTTGTCGATATAAAATAGGTGCTATAAAATTCTATTTATTTCTTTCCTTGAGAAAGTTTTTGTTCGTTTTTATCACACCGCCATGCCGGTCGTATTGTGTAAGGTCAGGTTTTACAGTGGACCAGTTTCCAGTACCGTGCAGAAGTGTATTTTTAAATCATTTTCGAACTGCCGTTTTTGATTTTTTTTCTTTACAGAATTGTATTTATAAGGGTCCCTTGTACATCCAGAATTTTTTTTTGGATAAGTTCTGAATCACCCTGTATATTCTCATAAAAAATTAACTCTATATTTTGGTAGCAATATGTGAATTTGTGTTTCAAAAGATTTAATTTAATTTGCAAAACGGAGAATTTAATTTGCAAAATGTTGAATTTGATTTGAAAAAGAGTTAATTTGAATTACATATGGTTGAATTTTATTTGCAAAAAATTGAATTTGGTCTGCAAATTCTGTAAATATCTGTCCTATAACTTCAAACGAATTGAACACAAATTAATTTAACACAGTTTTTTTAAATATCCTAAAACATTACAATTTAAATATTTGAAACGAGTTAGATATTTTCAACTTACTTCGTGTTCTTTGGAGAATTCGAGGAGTTGGTTGGCAGCAGCGTCGCGTTTAGGGGTAACCATTTTGTTGCACTAACATAATGGCAACACCGACATGCAGTTTACTTATATAGTATACCATTTATCAAACGGAAACAATTTTTTTTGTAGCACTAGAAATAATTTACCACAACCCAATGTCACTCTGTAAACAAAACGGGGCCTATTTTTTTTCTATTTTTAATACATGGGAGATAATACTACTTATTTTTCAGTTCTAAGGTCAAATAAGTGAATATCTGAAGATTTTGTTTATTATAATGAAACAGAAATGATTATTGCAACCGGATTTTATTTATAATAAGAAAGAAAAACATTCCATTAAGATTTTTTTCATACAATAACCTTGTTGTTTTTACCTTTAGTTTTTGGTTTATTTGCTCAAGTGTAACCCATATATGCTTTGACATTTTCCATTTAACTTGGTCCCTACAAATATTTTTTCATTTTTAGCTGTTAAAGTTTTTTATTGACTAGTTTGACAATATTTAGATAGTTTTTTAATAACTTATGTAAATTGTTCTAAGCAAAATTATTGGAAAACTGAGGTATAGGCGAAAACTATCAGAGCAAACATCCACCTCAGTTTTCTAATAATTATTAATAAGTCAATTATGGTTCTAGAGACCAAAGAACTCATTTTTAAAGAGAAGATGTATTCATAGTGTTTCAACACTTGTCAAATAAAATTATCGGGTATGATTATTACAAAGTTACAAACATGGTCGTGTTTGCTGCCTGTTTTACACCTCAATTTTGTAACAATTTTACAAGCCATCGAGAATGAACGAAATGAAGAAACTTTTACAAAATATACGATAATACAAATTAATCTACTACAAAATATTAGTCATATATATTTTCAAATATTTGTTATTTCACGACAATAAATGTTTTTAAACAATCTCAAAAGTAGTTGCCAAGTCATCGGTTTAGATTTTCTTTGAGTTTCTAAAAACGTACCGTTCTCTTCAGGGGAAACTCTAGCACCATCAAGAAGTCTTAACTGAAGATGTAAGCAGCCCAGAAATATGCAGCTTGCATGAAAATTTAATTCCTTTTAGAGCTGCATCAATTTATAGTCTATAACCGACAACAACTGACAATGATAGTGGTAAAAAACAATTCCTTTAATGCTACAAATTCAATAATGTTTCAAACTATCTAAAAATTTAAATTTTGTCACGTGATCAAGAATGCATTGTGACGTCATTTAGTGCGAATTACAACACTATCTACTTTTCGTCCGGCTGCTGTCTAGTATATAATTTCCATGCTGACGGGACGGATCTAAAGAAACACTTGTGCGGGAAACTCCGAACGAACTTTAAATTGGCTGTGTCTAGGTTCTTGTTACTTACTATAATGATGCTGACGGCTAGTTCCTATCATTCATGTTCTCGATTTTCGATCGCACTAAATGACGTCACTACAGCTAACACCCTTTTAAAACATTTATTTTGTGCGCCAAATTGTAGTTAACAACCTCCACGATATTTCTAATGCTTCCACTATATGATTGCAGAAGATTATAATATGTTATTTCAAGGCATTTAAAAATATATATGAAAATTGCATTCAACCATTGACAACTGCCACAAAGGCCTACAAAGCCAAGCTAATAAATTTCTTTCTTAAATCCTAGGCTACTTTGATCTTTAAGATATCTAATAAACTCATTAGTTTATAAAACAACATGTTGTTCCAAAGACAACGAATTCAACCCCTCCCTAATCTTCTTGCCAAAACTCTCATCAACGTTCGAGAACAACGCTATGGCTCTTTCCTGCAGAATGCTCGTAGTAGGGGTCAACCAGGTGACTATATTCTGGATCAGTCTTGCTCTTTCGTCAGGTTTCAAAACCCTCTGATACAAGACTCTAGCCTGGGTAAAGTTGTCGTCGTTTCCACTGTCAATCCTCTTAGCAACCCCGTTGAGAGGTAAGTGAGGAGTTAGAGCCCTGGCCCTTTTGTCGTTTTCTGGACCTCTGAAACTATTGGGGTGGTAGTTGGGAGCTCCACCTTGGCTGTGGATGGTACCCCAACCGTCTCGCTCGTAGTTGTGAATGCTGAAGGGGCAGTTCACTGGGAGTTGGATGTGGTTGGGGCCTAGACGGTGGCGATGGGTGTCGCCGTATGCGAAGAGGCGGCCTTGCAACATTCTATCCGGAGATGGCTCAATTCCTGAAGGAGAAACATGTGACTTTACTACTGCAAAATTATTTTCAGGTACTAATCCCTACTAAATACTTGTAATATCAGAGTCATGGTCTTGTATTGTTAACAAATTTGATGATTGTAGTTATCTCTCAAATGAAATTCTCACCTGGAATTAAATGTGCTGGGTCAAAACCGATCTGTTCGACTTCGGCGAAATAGTTCTCAGGATTCCTGTTCAATACCAATTTTCCCACGGGAATGAGTGGATATTGCCCGTGTGGCCAAACTTTGGTGTCATCGAATGGGTCGAACTCGCTCTTTGCAGCCTGTTCAGGAGACATGATCTGAATGTAGAAATTCCAGGACGGATAATCGCCGTCGTGGATAGCGTTGTATAGATCTCTTATGTGGTAGTCTGGGTCTATGCCGCCTATTCTTTGGGCGTCTGCAGATGTTAGAGTTGCGATACCTGAGGCAATTATATAGAAGATTAGCATAAATCGTACCACTTTTCTGGTTTATTCTTTACAAATAGTAATTCAATACTTATATATTTCAGCACAAATTCATTAAATCAAATTAAATCACGAAAATGTTTCTTCAGAGTCTTTCTCAAAATTTTTACGATTTTTAACAGTTTTTAGGGAACTAAAATTAGCATTCCTTTGAAAGTCTCAGAGAAGGTACCATTTGGAAGACTAATGAAAAGTTTTACCATAAGTGGATATCCTATATTGTACCACTATCGGTATATGTGAAATACTAATATAATTCAATTAAAATTATTATTTTTTAATTTTGAAACTAATGTGTTTGTCTTCCTGACATAGTATATAGTGTAAGACGAATTCGATGGCCAATAGGTTTTCCCTGTTTGCTAATGACATGGATAAAGTGTTTAGAATTTGAATAAAGAAATTGTTACCAAATATATTTGAAAACAAACGGCACAATGAACAAAAACGTAACAACTTTATCACCACCCAAAATATTGCAACATAGCTATATAGAGAGTAATAGATTTTAAAGAGCATTTGTTTATTTATAGTTTCTAATTTTTTTCCTACCTTGATTAGATAACCAATGGAACTTGCAATAGTTAAATTTTCCTTCGGAGTTGACGAAGGCGTAAGTGTTAACGCCAAATCCGTGCATCTTTCTAAAACTTTCTGGTATTCCCCTGTCAGAGAAAAATATCAACGTGGTGTGAGTGGTTTCTTGTCTCAAAGTAAGGAAGTCCCAGAACATATCATAGTCAGGCCTAATATGGGTCTTTGGATTCCTGAAAGTAGTTAGCTCATTGTTACTATACTAAAAAGTTCGACATCAACAGTTAGATCAACAGAATATCTTCGTTCTCTCTCTGTTAAGAGTTCTGAGAAAATAGGCTACAGTTCTGTCATTTGAATCAATGTCCTAAGATGAAATTGCGCCAAGTGCATGTTGTGTGCATCGGTTATTAAATTAGATGGTTTCGAAAAATCTGGATCAAAAAGTGTTAATTAATTAATGAATTTTTTAAATGTTCAATGGCTTTAATGAATTCAGGTATATGGATTACTTTATTTCCTTTTTTTAAACATATGGCCTTAGGTTTGGCAAATTTAAAGAAATCTTTTATTTTTCACTAGTAATCTGTAAGTCTTAAAAATGCTTTTATATCCTTTGGTATTTTTGGAACAGGCTAATATTTTCGCGAAATTTTATTCAGGTTTGTGTTTCAAATATATGACTTCACGCCTTAAAGATTCATATTCGACTTGCTGTACTTTGAAATTTAATTCTCTTAATATTTGAAATAGTTGTGTAATATAAATATATTCTAGTAATGCCCAAGGAGAGTCTATTTATCGTCTAGATATACTATCCAAATTATTTTGTAAATCTTAATATATTGCTCGTTGATCTTTAAATAGTATCTGGTGAATTTTTGAATCCAAATGGCATCCTTTTAAATTCATAGTGATATTTATCTGTATTAAATTATGTTTTGAGATTATTTGCATTTACTTATTTCAATCTGGTGGAAACCATTAGCCAAGTTTAAAGTATTAAAATATCTATATAAATGTATATAAAACATGTTTTACATATGCAGGAGATATTTATCATGGACCGTTTGCTTGTTCAATTTTCAGTACGTGCATGTAATTTTTTTGAACACTACAAATTAGGCTACTCCAAAAACAATTTGAATACTGAATGATATTGTAAGATGTTAATTTGAAAATTTGCCTTACTTTTATGAACTTCTGGATAGTTTAGTTTAAAATAGAACTGTATTAATAACTCACAATCAGATGTTTTTTTTAATACGATCAATAGAAGTTTAGCACAAACTTTTAATCTCTGTCAATACATCTTTTGTGTAATTTTGATAAAAAATCTAAATGTAGTAAGTGAATTGATTGAAAAAGTTGCAGTATATCCCTAAATTAAGACCTATATTTTGAAAAAGTCATGACCAAGTAACCTGGAAAAATATATCTTTGAATCATAGGAAAAAGTTAGGGGAAAGGGGGTCATTGCCTTCTATGACCCTCTTTCTTTCATTTGCGTTTTGAAGATTTAAACTGAAATTAAGAAGGTAAAATTGACGTGATTGATGTCAAAAATCTTTGCAAAGTTTAACTAAAAAGAATAAGGTAATCCATTTTTTTTTGTTTTCACTAGGTTAGCCTGTATCTTGAAAAAAGTACCTAAATGAAAAACAACATACGTAAAAGTACCCTGTATTGCTTCAATACGCTTCACTTAGAAAAAGATGTAATAGATTTATACTCAAGTACTTTTCTATTTTTGGACTTTGTACATACATTCAAACAACAACCTGTCCTACCTTTTCATGACGTGTATGAGATTGGGAAACATCACGAAGTCTTTCACAAAAAAAACAGGTTGGTTGTTTCCTGTTATGTCCCATATTCCATCTTCAGTATAAAATTTAAGAGCAAACCCTCGTATATCTCGAACGGTATCCGGATAACCTAGTTCGCCAGCTACTTGAGAGAATCTGAAAACATTGATAGTAAAACAATAAAACGAAATACTTCTTTCTTTCAATACCTGACAGCCATTGGTGTCTTTTTCCCGATCTCTGAAAATACACACGCCGCTGTGTATTGGGTAATATCGTGAGTAACCTCGAAGTAGCCAAATGCTCCAGCACCTCGTGCATGAACGACTCTCTCTGGGATTCGTTCTCTGGCGAAGTGCGCTAGCTGGTCTATGGCAAACCAGTCTTGAAGCAACACAGGGCCATGGTATCCTACTGTCAAACTGGCGTCTTTTTCGGGCACAGGGGTTCCGTAGGTTGTAGTGATTGATTCTTCGTCAGTCTTTCAAAGAAACATATTGGAGTCAATTTAATAACGAAAAGTATAGAAATAGTTACTATTTCACAAATTAATAGTAAAAACTGTTTAAGATTCCAATTGTTGTCCCAAGCAATTGATCAAGAATTCGTTAGAAATATTTGCATCACCATTTTATATTAGAATAAATTTGTGTGAAAATATTTACAAAGGTCAGTATAATAATTGGCAATTTATTGATCAAATTTAAGACCACCTTTTAGAATAAAAATTAATTGTTATAATGGAAAACCACAAACCATGATACTAATGATAGACTTATAACTTGCAATAATGTAATGCAGTTTTATTGACAAATATTTATATGTAAAGTATTTTTTAAATTTTTAAAATAAAAATACTTTTGAATACATATTAAAAATAGTAAAAAAATTATTTGGCTAGATTTAGTTCTACTGTTTCCAACTTTTTAATCAAGTCGTTGAAAGTAAGAAATTTACCATAATATTAATTGTACCAATATAACTGGACCCATTTATTAATGAATGTACTGCACATAGAACATGTTTTATTCATTTATGAGAAAAAATATTATATTAATGTAATGACAAACTGAAACAACGGAGGATCGTTAAAACTGTACTGGCATTTTTTAAAACATAAATGGGAAATTGCTCATAAATAATATGAAAAAAAAATAGATCTTAATAACCATAACACTTTTGTCGTTTGATACTCATCATTATATAAGTAGCGACTATTCTTATAACGTAATAATATTCCTCTTTATGAAAATAATGACAACGGCACTTACTAAATGTTTTTTGGAATATTCCAGAAGTTGATTGAAACTTGCGTCTCTCTTTGGTACTGCCATTTTCAAATCAAATGAAACACTGTTGTAAAAAATATATCTAAACCTCGAAACGTCAACTATATATACTCTGTCTAGCGGAAGTGATTCTAATAATGGTCTATAGCCGAATTTTACCACAAAAACAATTTTTAATAAACAACATTCTATCGCTTCTAACAAAAATAGTGAATCTTATCGACAGGCCAATTCCTGAAATAAATTAACGTGTTGGGAGCGATTATGTCCTGTAAAAAATAAAGATGAAAAAGGATGCAGTATCTGTTAAGTAAGTGTTAGTTTTCAAAACATTTTTCGTAAATTGCACATTAGTTGCTGAAGTTAATTATCATATAATTTAACGAAATTGAAAGCAAATTTGACGTACGTTGTTTCTATATTTGGAAGCAATGAATGCGATACTTATGATTCAACTGAACGCATTATTCTTGCAATATTCATTTTAGTGTGCATTGAATCGTTAATGCAGCTTTTTGCGACGCTATTTAAATGCCACCCACGACGTTTTAATGATAAAAGATCGGTCTCTGAATTTGCTACCTTGGTTGGAGAGGATTGTCGAAATGTGTCCTGTGTTCGTTAATTTTAAAAAGGATGCAGTTTCTTGAGGCATTTTGCCAAATTTGTTTACGTCGACTACTTGGCGTATACATTTGCTTTTCCAATAATTTAAGAAGAAACGAGTTGTTGATAGGACGAAGGCTCTTTTACAAATAAAAGCTGCCAGTGATTGTAAAACTGGAGTTTTACAATCATCGATCTCATCACCAACGCTCAGCATACACTCCAACATCGAGTAAACTGTTCCATAAAGCTGAATTCTTTATCGCTTTTGATTTTTCCATCAAATAAGCCAATAAAATGTCTTCAAACACCGCCTAACATTTTGTTCGTCACATCAATCTTTAAAGTCGCTGTAACATTTTACGTTTACTCTTTAAATTTCTTTAGGTTTTAAAAGCTAGTTTAAGCTTTGGAGAAGTTCAAGGAATTGAAATATCGCTGTCGTTCTCAGACAATTTCACGATTTTATAAAAACTGTTAAAATGTATTTTGTACTGCCGCTCTAGAAAATGCCTTTTTTCCCATCACTTTTTGCTCGGATCTAGATCATAATTATCTGTCGGCAGATTTTTTGCGTTTGGACGATTATATTTTTATTACGTCTCTAAATCGTTTAAAGATGAATAGCGATGAAAGTCACGAGGAACATATTCCATTCGTTATTGAAGATGCGGCCGCTCCCGCAAGTAATAGATTATTTCCAATAAAATCCATGAAAAGGTACGAAAAAGCATATGAATTTTTCGAAAAATGGTGTTAAAAGAAGTAATGGTAGTAAATGAAGATGTTCCCTTAGCTTATGAAATAAAACCTCGCTCAAGCCATCAACCATCAAGTGGATGTAGTCTGTAGTCAATGCTTAAAACAATGCTAAAACACAAAAAGAACATTCAAAATTAACACCTTTTCGAAAGAAAATCAGTGGGATATAAAATAAAGAGGTATATACAGAGTTTTTAGATTACAAATAAATAAATTTTAACAGAAGCCTCGAATCATGATTATTTTCTTATGAGAAATTTTCAGTGGAAGTATTCAAAATTTTAACAATTTAATTCTTTGTAGGTTATACTAATAGTATGTCGATGTGACAAATTAATAAAAATGACCGTAGTTGATATGAAAGATAAGACTGATATGCTAATATAGAATACAAAAAGAAATACTCAGACAACATTTGTCGTTGTCGACAAATTTAATTTGGAATTATACAGAAAATATCTACTCCTACGTACAAAAACATCACACATCGCATATTATTCATACTATTTAAAAACAATAAATGTACTGCTCAACCTATTAAAATGCATTCAGTATGTTATGTTTCTTGCGGAATAGTTACATATTTTTTATTTTATTTAATACACTGTTCAACAGGTACTACCCAATTGTAGAACAGGGATTTTACAGACAATAATAAAAGAAGTACCTACATTAATTACAAACAAAATTAAAAGTAACAAAAAAACACGGATCATCATAATAGAAGAAGGAAATAAATAAAATCTATACACTAAATAATACACATAAATGAAGATTTAAATTACATATTTGAAACTACCAGACATTAAAAATAAAGTATTTTTAAGTCATTAAGGCTGCAGTTAAAAATATCTACAGAATTTTTATTACAGTTGTTGCAGTTCTACGAGGAGTTGGTAAATAAAATTCTCCGTTTTCGCTAGAGCTAAATCTAGGTATAGAAAATGATAATTTGGTTATAAATTCCTGGCAGTCAGCCAAATTACGTAAAATTTTAAAAAGAAAAACCTGCGAAAAGTATTTCGGTCTAGTTTCAAGGCTAATAAAGGAATGTCTACTTAAGGTCTTCATGCGGATATCCGATATGAGGATAGTGGCCATCAGATTTAAAATATAAAAATTTAAAAAATCGCCGTTGAATCGATTCCAGTTTATTAATGTGGACACCACTGTGCGGAGACCATACGAGAGAGGCATATTCAAGTTTCGACCTAACATAACTAAAGTAAAGAAACTTTATGACATCTAAGCTTGAAAAATCACGACCGTTGCGAATCGTAAATCCATATGCTCTATTGGCTTCGGAGACAACAGTCTCAATATGATTATTAAATGATAGTTTTTCATCAAATACAACGTCCAGGTCTCGAAATGTTTTCGGTCTTGACAAAATGCTGTATTTAAACATAATGTGATTGAACTTGTTGGAGAAAGACATGACGTTACATTTTTCCGTATTAATGTTGCGAACTGAGCTGCATATTTTACATCATCGACATAAAAAGAAAAACATATGTTAACTAAATCGTTAATGAATATAATGACGATTTATACTCAATCGATTTATACCCATTATAAACGATATACTGTTTTCTGTTGTCTAAATAAGATTTGAAGAAGTTCATTAAGGCCCCTGGTACGCCAAACATATCAAGCTTCTGGAGTAAAATTGAGTGATCAAACCTATCAAACGCCTTGCTGAAGTCCGTATATATGACATCAGTTTGTAAATTATTGTCTATGTCTATAGAATCGGCTATGAATTGCGTAATACTGATCAAGTTAGTGACAGTAGAACGTCCTTTCAAAAAACCATGCTGACAGGGTTTTATCATATTAGAGATGTTATAATAAATATAGTCATGAAGTAATATTTCAAAAACTTATCATAGATCTAATATAGTATACTATGGTTACGAGGATTAGAAATCTTCAACCGCTGCGGAAGGTTATATCGAAAATTCTATTCACAATAAAGCAAACGTATCAAATAAATGGATTTTTCAAGTGATGACAAATATTTTCCTCTTGAAGTAATAAAAGCTGCACTATCGCAACTTATTTCTCAAAAATCTGACAATATAAAACAGTATAATAAATTCAATAGTGGTGTATTGAAAGGAAAATTATAGAAAATGTGCCAATCAAGCGGTTGATATTAATAAAATAAGAATCATTCCAAAAGAAATCCCTGCATATTTGAAATTTCAAGTAGCCGCATCAGAATAAGTCTAAGGACTACTACTTCAGAATTCAGATGCTCTTCTACGACAATTCTAGCTGATTCTGGTGCAAACGTTATTTCTATCAAAAGGTATAGGAGTTAAAGTATACTTCAATAACAAGAACGTATATTCAAGACTATTGAATATAGAATTCAAGTCTCAAAGAGAATATCTTCGAAAATGGTTGAAGTTTCTGATTCAATTGCTCCTTCAAATGTATTGGAAATCTCAGTTTACAATTTTCGAACAAAGAAAATAATGGTTGTGATTATTTGTTCAAGTCAAATAAATAGATTTTCAAAAATCAATCAGTCAATATATCACGACAGTTTTCGAAATTGGAATTTAACAGTATTGCTATATAATAACTATATTTATCTGTTTTTTTAGTGAGAAATATAGTGCCACAAAAGTCCCTTAATTCATACGGCATACGGATTTATATATTTTTTATTATTTTTGAAGGTAGTGAATTAAATAGAGGAAATTATAGAGAATCCTTAAAATCCCTGATGTAAAATTGTGCAGATCCAGATTACATTTTGTTTAGTTTCTATTGTACTAATTTCTAATGTATCAACTTTTCAAATTTGGTTAAATCTTTGAATATGTACGCCATTCCTATCTATGTAATCATATACTTTCAACTTGACTTTAAGAAAGGCAGATCCACTAATACTAATTTATTTCATATCGGATCGTGTAGGTGTTTCTGTCTTACCTTCACGACAGACTACAATTTGTTCAATATCAAGGATTTAAGTCGACACAATTTAGTACAATATCTGGGTTCCTCGAGATTCAATCTTGGGTTCTTTTGTTATTTAACATTATATATTAACGGTATATCTTCTTGCCTTAATATTAAGTAGCTACTAGATATACAGTGTAGGAAAGTACCGATGGTCTATCAGAAGTTACGTGAGAGCGATAAAGTAAGCCATAGAAATCCATGTGATAGACAAGGATGGCTATAATGAAGGCGTCTAATAGTCAACGCCCATTTCGTCCTTCCACAAATAAGAAGTGGATCTTATTTGTGGAAGGGCGAAACAGGCGGTGACTATGAAACGCCTTCATTATAGCCATCCTTCTATATCGCATGGATTTCTATGGCTTACTTTATCGCTCTCACGTAACTTAAGATAGACCATTGGTACTTTCCTACCCTGTATGTGGATGACATGAAAAATTTCCTGTCAATGTTTAGTATTGCACATTGTAAATTGTTATAAGATAACTTAGAACAAACTAATGGCTGGTGTAACTTCGATCATCTTAATTCGCATTAATCTCAATGAAAAGTGCAATATTTTGTCCTTTTCCCGAAGGTAGAGTACATTAGTTCTTCCTTATAACATAAATCTCTTTTAAGAACCAGGAAATTTAGGGATCCAGGAGTTACCTTTGATCTTAGACTCAATTCAAGATAATTTCAATCTATCGATGCAC